TTCCCTTTCATCAATTATATACCTTCTTCTAAGGAGATTTATGAAGTAAGATAAATTGGGCTGTTATTTTTATCAAATAAGGATCCAATAGAAGGGTTTGGACTAAATTTCACATTTTTTGGGGAATGCCCACGTTTGCCATAATTTTTCTTCATGTTGTCTAATGTTAGTTTACAGCCTCACTCAAATGGAAAGCCCAAGCGAAAGTCAAAGCCCCCCTCCCCCCCCCCACAAAAAAAAAAAAAAAACAACAAAAATAAAAGACAAATTGATTACAAAACCAAAAAAAAAAAACCAAAAAAAAAAATAAAAATAATAATAATTCAACTAGTTACCAAACAATAGAAAAAGAGATTAATGTTTAATTACTAATTGGGTAAATCTATTTTGCAGTTAACTAAATTATTCATTGAAAATGATATGAAAGACAAACTTGATTATATAAGCTTATCAAATAATTTTGTAGTTAAAAATGTAAGAAAAGTAATATTGAAGTGATATTTTGTTACATTTAGATTAATCTGTACTGATTTATGGCTTTATTTTTTATTTGGTATCCCCCCCCCCCTTTTTTTTTTTTTTTTGTTTTTTTTTTTTTTTTTTTTTTAGGGGAGGGGTTATACCCTGTTTATTACTTGCAGATTTTTGAGCCACTACAGGCATCAATAACAGGAGCTCCTTTGGAGGATGCTCGCTATTTGACTCATCGTTATGACAGACTCCGCCAAGAAGTGGAAACACATTGAATTGTAAATAAGAAGGAAACCGAACTTAAAACACCTACATATTTGAAGTTGTCTAACAGATATTACAATTATTGATCCACATGGGGGGGGGGGAAATGAATTTTAGAATAATCAATGATTATTTTATTGATTACCTGAAAAATTCAAAACTTTTCTTATGTGATCTCTTCCCCTTTCCCTTTTATTTTAATTTTTTAATTTTTTAATTTTATTTTAAAGAAGGATAAACAAAGAAATTGAGCTACAATTGCAAATTAGCATCACTAAGGACCACAGAGGCTAAAAGAGGCGGCACCTCTTCCATCCAAACTTTCAACCCAGGCCAAGCCTTTGACAAACGAGCAAGAGAGTGTGCTGCCTACCAGCCCTTGGAGTATGAGAAACGCACAAGTCTCTGCAGCCCAGGCTTGCCTCCACAATCTCTTGCACAATATGGAAAAAATTAGATAGTAGATACTCGCTCCCTTGAATAGCCTTGACAATGGACAACGCATAAGTTTCTTTTGTTTCTAATACTGTTTCTTTGATAGTTCTCCAAAGAATGTATTTTCTGGTAGATTAATATACAAATAGAATTTTTTTTACATAATTATTACATATAACGATATAAATTTATGTGATCATTTTATTTTTAAGCAAAACATCCATTATTATAATTATAGTTTTGAAAATGTTATGAATACATTATTCAAAGCTATTTCTATTTAAATTTTCTAATTACAAATCATTTATCATGGTATCACTAGCCAATTAAATCTTGTAAATATATTTAGGATTAAGTAAACAATTATTGTCTCTCTCGCTTACTGAACTATATAATCTTTGGAATTGCGATGTAAGAACTCTCACATTATTTAGTGGTACCATCACATGATTTCACTGTTATATTTATACGCAATCATTAAAAAAGTTTTAAATAAAGTTTATCCACTTTTAATTGACAGCATGAAAAGCCTAACATAACTTGCACAATTATGGCCAAATCTGATACCAATGTGTTTTGCAGGTGATGATGCTGACTGATGGGACACATACAATATCTGGACTTCAGTTTGCTTTGGCAAGGGCAGAGAAATATCTTTCCCACCAGATGAAGCATACTCTCAGTTTGAATATGTGTGAGTGACAATCTATTTCTAAGTGACCGAAAATCTCTCAAGACAACTCTTCTTGCTTAAATAAAAATAAGCCTCAAATATATAGCTTCCTCCTTTTCAAGAGAGACAAAGTTGCTAGATAAATTGGGGGAGAGGAGGGTGTTGGATTTTGATAGTGAGATCAATTGAATAATTTTTTTCACATTATATTTCATTCAATGGAAAGCCTATTGTTAATTGTAGATTTTATGATTGATGATAATGAGAAAGGAAGGAAGTTGAGTATGATAACAATTGGTGACCAAATGATAGCCTATAGTTTGAAGACAAAACAGCCTCGTTACATTCTTTTTCTTTTCTTTCTTTCTTTTTTTTTTATTTTTATTTTTTTTAGTTCATTATTTCAATTTTTTTTCCTCTCTAGGCCATTTCTTCTTAAGTATGGCCTTGATAAATAGGTTACATTAGATCAACTATTTAACACTTAAGTATTGGCTTTATTGCAATGGAAGGACTGGGTTTATTTTAGTCATGGGAATGACACAGTTTCTTAAATCATATTTGTAGATAGCAGAATTTTGATTGCACTCTTTAATTTGTCATATTTGGATGGAAAGTCCTGTTATATGTATGCAGAAGAAGTTGTTGGACCAACGAAGGTTGGCCTGAGTTGAAAGAGCTCTGGTTCGAGTCCTTGTCGATGAAGAAAACCTTCTTGGGAGAGGTCCCTGCCTTGGCGCCGAACCGTACCTCAAAGGATTAGTCCTGGGAGAAGCCTGGGGATACCTTGGGAAACCAAAAAAAATAAGTCGTTGGAATCCTCATTGTCAATCGTGGTCTATTTTTGTTCTGCTTTGTATATTTATATGCATTTGTTTGTATGGACTTTTCTATGCTTGATAGTTTGTTATTCAATCATATAGCCTGATTACCTTGTCTGGAGCCAAAACAACAGAAGCATCCAATATCATGAGCTGAGATTTTATCCTGAACGAACCTTCTTTGTTTTCATAAATTCTGCAATTTTTAGATTTTCATTTGTAACTTATTTTCATTTTTGGTCTAATTTTTTTCCCTATTAGTTCTAACAAAGACTGAGCAAAGGAATGAATTAAGGAGCTACAGAGCTAATTACTACGGTTGCCTAAATCCTTGATTTCTATTTCCAGGTATGCCCTTCAATCTAACAATTACATACTTATTCCCAAATTTTCTTTCTTCATTCACCAAAATTTTCATTCTAGGGCCTCATGTCATTTCCTTCTCTATTCCTTATATATCTCGTCGCATCTGTTCATATATATATATATATATGGATTATTCATGGTAATTTCCAAGTGTATGTGTAACGCCCTCAAAATTAGCCCATTATATATCATTGACATGCATTATTTAAAGAAGACAATTTATTAATTCATTCATCAGAGTATTACTAAATAAAGCATTACATGTAACATCGAATAAAATGCCCTACAGGCTTACATCAGCTAGAATCACATGAATTATTGTAGAATTGGGTTGAATTGTGACATGCATGCATAATTCTTCATCTTTGAGTTCAATTTTCAGACAAAAGAATGAAGTGATAAATTTTATTCTAATAAAAAATTACTTAGAGAGAATATACAAGAGGCCTTATATAGGCGTAAGAGATCTTGGAGTAGGCACCAAGTCAATACAGATATGGACAGGGAAAACTATGTAAGGAAAAAAAAAACTTATTTATGGAAGTAATACAATTGGAAATAATACAACTCATGCCAACATGAAGCAGATGAAGACACAGGAAGTCCAACAGAATTTCTTTCAGTATCACCAAATTGGGGTACTAGTACTACTGGACTCTTTTGGGATACTGACATAGATGGGATCTATGTTGCCAAAAAAAAAAAATCAATTATCACAATGGATGACTCTCAGTTGTACACAAATGCTCGACTCTCTCATTTGTCTCTTACTTACTATGGGCATCGTGTTTGTGGGAGGAGATAGGGGATGCAGCGTCTTGCTGCATGAGTTTCATACTTTCTTGGAGTTGACGCATCATTTCCTCCATCCCTGCCATGTTCTGCTGTTTCGGCTGACTGATCGGTATTTCTATCTCTCTGGTAAAAACTGAGACCTCAGCCTGACTGTTCACTGGTGGGGTGGATAAGGACCACTAATCTGGTAATTGCTGAACTGGTGATTTGTGCCTGACTGACCCTTTTACCCTGCCTCTGGCAAAGGAACACTGATTGCCCTTGAACTGAATCTCTGACCTGACAAAGTCTATCAGTACAAGTTCGATGAACCTCGGGGGATATCGGAGCCTTCTGAAGCTATAGTTCCAAGATTACCCTAGCAAAACAGAAAACAGACAGCACCTCAGCCTGATTCCATCTGAACAGATACGAGCATAGTTGAATGAGTGTGCCCTCTACTGAATTCTGTCCCAAAATTCGGCCTGTAAACTGTTACCCTCGGGTAAACTGAATCCCAAAATACTGATAGTAATGCCCACAAGCCTGATGCCCAAACTTGTAAACTGATACATGCATTCCTGTAGAGACGTACTCTAAAGCACATAACAGATAAGTGAGAGCCAAAACACCCCTATGTTGGGGATAGGGTTTCCCTGTCCTATTTTGTCAAGAGCTAGGGTTTCACTACGCACGTAGCGGTTTCAAACAATCTATAATCGGGTAAGCAACCTGTCCTAGTTTGGGATGGTCACTATGGATTCTGAATATGCACTAGGTCGAATGGTCAAAAAAATGCCTCGGTAAAACCGGGGTTTGTGTTCCCATACTGGCAGAGCCCACAACCGGTCAGCCTTATGGTCATGCCTTGACAAGACAAGCCTCCGGCAAACCGTTCAGGAATAGCAGATGGCAAACACGGTGTCCTAGGCACACCAATGCAAATGCAATGCAAAGAAACACATAAGTGTAATCAAAACAAGATATCATGAGTTCGAGTCAAGTTCTCTAAATCCCCAGCAGAGTCGCCAGAAACTGTAACAAGCCCGCGGGGGACCTCGCTACAGCTCAAGATTCCTTGGGCTCTTGTCTCGTCGTCTCAAGATCACGGGTTGTGATCTCGATCTGAGTCTATGAGGTTTGAATGAAATTGAAAACTATTACAATAGCCCAACTTTGAAGCTGAAATTGAAATGTCATGTGATTTCTTTTACTGCAGATGGAAGATGACCTGCCTGTTTGGTAGACAAACATATAAGAATATATTGTAAGAGCTACTAAGAAATATGGTCAATTAAGTAATATGCACTCAAAAGCAATGATACTTACATTCGTATATATGAATAGTCGACTACTTGAGTCACCAAACAGAGTTGGATCCACCTGAGACAAACCAAAAACATAATAAAAACAAATTCTTTTGTCTATGTGAAGCTAGTTTTTACTTGTGAAAATTGTTTCTAAAATAAGTAAGAAGTTAATTTACAAGAAGCAAGAAGATCAACTTACCCTCCACCCGACTTGTAAGCTATCAGGCCCATTTTGAATCATCATTCGCCCTGCACTATATTGTTTACCCACGACATCTGGTTGGTGTACACTAAGCACCGCTGACGCTCCACTGTATTTGTTTGGACCATCTATTGTCTCAACTATGGCATACTGGGTAATAAAAGTCCAAAACATATGTGTTACTTTTATATTTTCCCTTTAACCTTTTCCACTCTCAAAATCTGTACATATCCATATTGTTGGGAGAAAACCAAAGGCCAATTCGAAATACCCAAATCTAGCACAAAATAGTAAAAGTAATTTTTCTCCCTCTTTGTGTGAATCTATTAGGAAACAATTTGAATAGAGCACAATATATATATAATCTGAAAATAAAAAATCTTAAAATCACACAACAAGGCAAGAGCAATTTGCTGATCAAAAAAAAAAAAAAGCAAGAGCAATTTTTACGTGGAAAACCTTCCCACTGTGAGAAAGAAAAAACTGCGGAACTGTAGTCCACCAAATATCTCCACTATCAAAGAATAATGGGTGTACAAGAGTTCTCTCTAGTTAGAACTAGTGGCAAACAATGAAGAACTACAAATAAGTTTTCCTGGCAACCAAAGAACTAGTTACAAAGTTTAGGAAAGATCTCCAAAAATAGGGTACTGTTCACAAGCTAGAAAACCAAATTCAGAGTGCTCCAAATCTGATCTCCACCGTTCAGATCTACCAAATTTCAGCTCAATCGGACCATGAATGCTTGCCGATCGAACTAGTTGATCAAAGCTGGATAGAGTTTATCAAAAAACTGCTTGGCTCCCTTTTTCCTCCTTGTTTGGTGGTTGCACTCTACTCTCTCTCTCTAGGGTAGTAGAGAGGGTTTTTGTCTCATCACACGCATGGACCAAAAACCAAACAAAAAACATTATCTGTTTGGTTTAATTTTAGGATTATAATTTGAGTATAGAGTTTTGAGTTTTTGAATCGTGATTTGAAAAGAGAAAATTTGTTTTAGTTATGAGTTTTGAAAATAGTTTCGAAATGATTTGTAATTTTTTTCTTTTAGATTGATTGATGTATAGAATGTGAGAGGAGAGATGAGAGAGAAAAAATGATTGATTGATTAATAATAAAAATAAAAATAAAAAGGAGTTTTGAAAGTAATTTTGAGTTTTATTTTAAAAATATGTTTGGTTAACAAGTTGTATTCAAATCATGGTTGAGTTTTGAAAAATAAACCAAACGCTACCATAATCTCTCCATGTAGGCTTGAGACTCACATGGGCTTTACTGACTATTTAGGCCATCATCCACATACGAGGGAAACCCAACCCAACACAAGTATATATATGCATGCGCTTACTTTTTTTTGTTGATTTTTTCCCCCTCTTTTCATTCAAATAACGCATTGTGCCCTAACTGTAAGATTTAATGTTTAGTGTTTTTGGTTGTGGAGATTCAAGCCATGTAAACAATCACATCTACAAGTAAAATTATTATCAAAAGTTTGCCTAAAACTTTCAACAAGATGAGGCTAAACATTGCTTCAAAAAATGAGGACTAAAATCAATTTATAGGATCAAAAAATTGGCTAGAGTGTTCTGTGTGTGTGTTGACAGCTCATTCAAGAAGGTGATTCATAGAAACAAATAAAACCAGATATAGAAAACAAGCAATAGTGCAAAACCAGTATTGTGAAGCTATATAATCTTGATTGACTAGGATAACTTACATCAGCACCACCGGTGTCATCTGCAGGAGTCATTATTTTTGAAGCAAGTTTCTCTCTAATGAGATCTTCTTTAGTAGTTCTTTTAATTGGAACTGTTCCAACCGGGCAACCTCCACCCTTTAGTCCTACATGTAGAGGTTTGCTATCTTCTGAGGAAACTTGATGTCTTGATCCATTGGGTGATGAAGTGGGCTTCATCTGCAATTCAACTCAATTCGAAAAAGGTAAAGGAGACTTGCACATAAATTGATCACATAATGGATTACAAAAAATTCAAAAGAGTTGGCTTCTATTGTTGGGTTCGTGCATGTCTTGTTTTCTATGAGCCTCATAAAGTTATTAGTGTCGACTGTGTGTATCAAATTTGGTAAGATCCATACTGTATTTTGGGTTACGTTGTGAAATCAAGAGTTCACTAGTAATTCAATGTGTAGGGTTTTATTAATTGTATGGGACTAACATTTCTATGGTTTGCCTATAAATATGAATCTTCTCCACAATCTCCTCTCTTTTATTGATGCTTGTCCCAAAATTATATTTTATCTATTGAATTTGATCAATACAATTATTCCCTTTGCCAATAAAAAGAAGTATTGTAGAGGTGTGAGATTGAGAGGTTTTGTAAAGATGTAGGGGACATGAAAAAATTCTGGAGACAACGATAATGAGTAAGTAAGCATGTGTAGCTTCTAGAATCAGTTAATATTAAGTAGGGAAATGGGCAGAGTTTCAAGACTTCGGTATTGGTGTCAGATTTTAAAGGTTTTTGGTTTCATTGTTGTACTCGCTATGCTTCATAATATATTTCTCTTTTGTATGCAAATCTTTGTGATTTTTCCTCTTTAGTGTGTGCATATGGATGTGCTTCCATTTGAATTTAGGATGTGCAATAATCTCATCACCTATTGTGCGAACTATAGTGTTCTGTGATTTATTTTGTGCTCATAGAGTGTTGAATAAATAATTAAATAGCCTTCAATTATGTGTTGGAGATAAGATGATGTACGGAGACAAACCTGAAAATGAAAAGTGTGGTTCTTCAGTAAAGGATGATCAAATGCAGGCTGTTTGTAGAAATCCACGCAATCATATATATCTCCATAATTATTCTGTAAATGTTACAATCTTTCTGTTAATTTTTATATACAATTGTTCAATTCATGAAAGGTTGTTCAAAATTTTGTGCAAAAATAATAATACCATATTCTGTATTCTCAAGTTCAGAACATCAAATTAGATGTTGCAATTCAAGACATCCATGATATTAGGCCTAAGATGCTTATTAATCTCTGCCATTTGATTTTCATAGAAAATTTAACTAGACAGTATTGGAATTGAATGTCCTCGAAACTAGTCCCAGGACATCCTAGGAAACCGGCTCAACTTAAATTTTTATTTATTATATTTGAGACAATAGTTTGTTGATGTCAACAACTTTATGTTCCGATTTATCCTTTATATGGTGATTATTAAGTTCCATAAGAGGTAGATACAAAATAAGACATTAGGTATGGGATATGACTGATTATTGACCTCTATAAGGTGATGAGATACAGATGAGAGATTAAGAAGGGTCTGCATTAGTAAAAACACCAAAATATTCTCCCATTATGGTGATTACACTATGTATGTATGTCTAGTGTGATTCCAGACAAACATGGGCTATGATAAGATTTTACCAATTTCCCAATCCAGGAACATTTCAAACTGGGATACAATAAGCAATTGATAATATCAACATCAATTATGGCAAGTCTATTAATCAAATATAATTTACTCCCATGAAACAAACATAGCAAAATTGAATTAAGACTATGTTTGGATTTTAAATTTATATATGAGTTTGAAAAGGGAAATAGAAAACATGAGTGAAAAGTGAATCAAATGTAATTATACTTTACCTAACTATTCCATTTCTCTATCTAAATTAGTGATCCAAACGCAGTCTAAATGTTTCTAATAATTGTTGAGGATAAATACTTGTATAGTCTTGACTGCTGGCTTGTTGAGATGCTTAAGTTGCTCCTCCAACTCCAAATCTTCCTCTTTAGTTAAACTCCTCCAGTCTCCTTCAATTCCATTGTGTCCCACAAGGTGAGACCATACACACAGAAATAATACAATAGCATGTAAGTCCATGGGATGATCTGGAAAATAATAAAAAAACAAGGTAGTTAGTGATAAAATATCACAACAATCATGCTATAATTATTTAAGGCAATTAATGAAATTACAGTCGGACTATATCTATACACATAAGGTTCACATATTTTATTTTTGAACAAAATATATTTATAGTCCTCAAAGTGTGCGTTTATTGTCATTTTGGTTCTTCAAGTTTTAATTTTGTCAATTGCATCATTCAAATTTCAATTTGAGTCAATTTGTTCCAATTCTAAGTGTATTGTCTAAATAGCTACCAAAATGGTAATAAAATACACACATGTTCTTTAAAATTTGTGTTTCTTGTTACTCGTATCACTTTGGTCCTGGAAGTTTTAAATTTTGTCAATTTGGTCATGAAACATTAATGAAGAAAATAAAACATAACCATACAATATTAAAGGACGAAATTAATAAAATTGATACTTGAGAGACCAATATGACACAAAATATACATTTTTAGGACCATAGTAAAATTTATGATTATTTTTTCTTAACGATTTAAACATCCGTTTTGAAATTATATTAATCTGACTCAAATTGACAATTTTGAAGCAAAATGACAAAATTATTTATTTTTTGATCTACTAGAATCAGTTATTAGCTTTTAGATTAGCACATTTAGAAGTTAGCCTTCCCACCTTTTGTAAATTCAACTCTCCCTAAGAAGATACAATATTAAAGTACGAAATCAATAAAATTGATACTTGAGAGACCAATATGACACAAAATATACATTTTTAGGACCATAGTAAAATTTATGATTATTTTTTCTTAACGATTTAAACATCCGTTTTGAAATTATATTAATCTGCCTCAAATTGACAATTTTGAAGCAAAATGACAAAATTATTATTTTTTTGATCTACTAGAATCAGTTATTAGTTTTTAGATTAGCACATTTAGAAGTTAGCCTTCCCACCCTTTGTAAATTCAACTCTCCCTAAGAAGAGTTGAATAACCTCCCCCAGGTAAGAAAGTTATGGTGGTTAATTAGGTAAGGCCTAGTTGATTGACAAAATTAAAAATTAAGGGACCAAAATGACAATGAATCTATATTTTACAGACTAAATTGTAGTTTATCCTTTATTTTTATTTTTTATGTAATGTGAAAAAAAACAAACGACACCCATGTTTGGCATTAAATTAGAATCGTATTGAAATCATGAAACTTTGAACAATGAATATCCCTGTACCTGAGACATACACTAGCCCTATTATCATTGCAATTGAAGTATTAGTGTGTATACACTTGCCATTAGGACGCACATTTCGTAAAATTAAATTAGGATGTTTAATCTAATAGTTGTATAGACGTCACTGGTTCAATTTTAATAGAGAAGTTGGGCTTGATAGATTGGTTGTAAATATCTCTCTTATATATTGACCCAAAAAAAAAATTAAAATTATAATAATTAAATTTATTTCCAATGAAGTAATTTATTTATGAATTAACGAATTAAAATCTCTTGCATTACTCCAATTTAATTTTAGTTGAAAACTGAAAATATCAATTTGACTGGATTGATGGCTAACCATTGGGTTTTTTATCGAGAAAAATTATACCAATGAGGTGATAAATTTATAATATAGGAAAATTCATTTTAAATTAGATAGTCTTATCAAAGTAAATTATTATTTTAAAATGTCATTATCATATTATTTTAATTAAATTATTTATGTAAAATTTGTTTTTGTAAATCAATTTCTTAAATTTGTTTTAATAAAAGTGCGAGAGAACATTATTATTTATTTATTTATTATAACTTGGTAACCACCAATCTCACCGTTTACTAACAGATAGTCCAATTAAAGTATGGACTGACCCAAAAAATTGTTTGGGGCAAGAAGATTTTGAACTTAAGAGCATAGAGAGAGCACATCCCCATTTCCCCGACCTTGACCACCAAACCAACTCCTTAGGTAGTGTTTCATTCATTGGAATGATTAAAGTGGAATGAAATTATCATTCCATCAAAATATTCATTTATATGTTTGATTAAATTAAAAAATAATAATAACAAGCGCATATAAATAGAATTACCTTTTACAATTTTAAATAAATAGTCATTCCATATGAAAGTCTATGGAATGACAATTCATTTTAATGAACCAAAAATAGAGCATAATGGTTAGCAATATTCTATTATGAAGAAAGTAAAAAAGATAACTCAAACTGCTAAACCAAAGTAAACCAAAGTAAACCAAAGTAAACCAAATGACAATGAAAATGGACAGACAAATTAAACAGGAAATATTGAGTAAATTTACAAACCCACGTACAAAAATCAAGGCATAATTTGTTTAAAGTAATGATTGCCATATAAAAAAAAATGCAAGTGGGAATAATGTATATTATTTGTAAGTAATTGAAGGAAAATACAATAAATTTTTATTTTTAATTTTATGTTTTTAATTTTAATTTTTTGAGTTTAGTCAAAATGGATTGAAATATACTAATTTTACACCTATTAAGCATGAATTAACACTGTTTTCTGTTAACAAAATATACTTATAGGGAGAGATGTTGTGAAATGCAGCTTTGCTTGATTGAATGACAAACATTTATTTAATTTTTCACTCTCAAATTTGGAATTCAGACTAAAACATCTTTACATTTGAAGGAAGTTATAGAAATTTCTATTAAAAAATAACAAATTATTAACTAGGAAAAAATTATAATGCCATTAATCATAAACAAATACCTGAAAGACAATAGACTTCTGTCACAAGAATGATTTTGAGACCTCAATACACATGGGAATGGGAATGGGAATGGGAATGTGTGTGGTTCGAATATATATACTAGTAAAAGAAGCGAATGTCTAGCAATGCTCATTATTATTATGGTTAATGCTAATAAATGTCTCTGGGGTATTTGATAAGATGTGGTTAAGAAAAATGCTAATAAATGTTTAGCAGTGTCCATTATTATTATAGTCATTTGTTTGGTAAAAAATTTGATATTTCTAACATTACAATAGGTTAAATAGGGAATTCGGGTGCCTATTGTGCATCTAGCATGCGGGCACTAATGTGCACGCTTTGAGGCTCACTCCGAATCTTATATTGATAATTCGAACTATTTATTTTCTAGCGTATACCATGAAAAATATATCTATAAATAATTAAGTTGATCTGACAACAGTAACTCTTTCATCAAAACACATTTGTATCGATAAAAATGAATAGTAAGTGTTATTTTAAATATAATATTGATTATAAATATGTTTCGATTAAAGAGTTATCGTTATTCAATTAACTTATTTTTATAAATATATTGTACACGATATACTATAAAAAATAAATACTTTCAATCATTAAAATAAGAATCAGAGTGAGCCTCACTATGAGCACAAACAGTGCCAGTAATGCTTGACATATACAATAGGCACCCTAATTTTTATTTTTTTCTTTATCAGGACAATAGGCACCCTAATTCTATTAAATAGGATAGTATTAATTTTTCTTGATTTTAGTAACGGTCTAATGTTAAATTATTATTGCGTATTTAATATTACATTAAATTTTCTTGAATTTAATAATTTTCTATTTTTATTAATTAAGGGTAAATTACACTCCGTAGTCATGTGCTTATTATATTATTATTTTTATTAAAGATTTATACAGTAGAGTAATAAAAGGAAGATATTGACAATTGACTAAAAGTGCAGGAGTTTACTGCCACAATTTCATGTGTAAAGATCAAAGTAAAATTTGGTATAAAATACAAGAGTGCAAAGTGTAATTTATTCATTAATTAAATTAGATGCATGTAATAGTTTGGTATTCTTAACCTATTATTTAAAATTGAACAAATTTCAAGAATCATGAAATAAAGTATTATTGGTTGCTGCTTATCACGTGCCCGAGAAGCACTTGGTAATTGTGAAATAATCACAATTTTTTAATAATTTTTTTTTACTAAATAATTCATCTACAATGATTATTGGATTTATAACAAATCAAAATTAACACATATGATACTATATCATTGTGAGTACATAAAATTTTATGTGAGTCTTAAACATATTCTTTTACGAAAATAATCTATTCCCAACGGATCCATAATACACCATATCTGATGTTCAAATGCATCCTTTAATCTTCGTATGTTATGCTTGTTGGAAAATAGATCTTGGGATTTGAATATTTGTTTTATAATATTGTTATTGTTTGCAAGCTGCCCAGTGTAACGTTGAAGCAAGTGAAAATGAAAAGAAAATGCAAACCTAATTTGGTGAACTTATCAACTTGTTTTGTTGTTTCATGGAGTGGATTAGGGTGGTTTTAATATGGAATTTCTAAATTCTCTTTGAAAGGTTATAGTTGATCAATAATGGATTAATTTTTGTTAACTGTTAGAAAATTTGTTTGATTGAAGTTCTTCATTAGAACATGATTCAATGTAATGCCCAATTTTATTTTATTTTTTTGGGTGAGATATATTGAAACTAGACAAATAAATCATTAGGAATGTATTATAGTAGCTGTAGTGGCATCAAAAGGTTTCATGAAACCATTTTTCTGAAAAAAAAAAAAAAAAAAAAACCCAAAATTGATCACAATTTTTTTTTGTAAACTGAAATTAATAATACCAGAAAAAATTCTTCTATAGAAACAATCACAGTTCTATAGAAAAAATTAATAATACCCCTTCACGTGAACCCTCTGTTTGGATACAACTTTCAAAATTAATTCCACACCCGCGTTTGAAAACTCGTCTACCTGATCATCCCCCGGACTTCCGGCCGATTGACCGGAACAGTTGTTTTTCTTTTTTTATTTTTTTTTTATATTTTAACTTTAAAAAAAATTCAAAATTTTTTTTAAAATTTTTTATGAGCTTTGAATATAATTTTGGATTGTGTGTTTGGTTATGAGTTGTAAGTTTTTGAATCAAATATCATATGTCACATCAAAAATTCAATTCAAAACTCATAACCAAACAAATTTTTCACATTCAAATCATAATTTTAAAACT